GCCTGCGTGGGGTCCCCCCGGAGGCGGCGGGGGCTGCCGCGGTGGCAGCGGCGACTCCCACGCCCCGCCGTACGGTGCAGGGCCATGGCCGAAGCAGCCCGGCTCTGGTGAGGACGTTCCTCATGGAGGATGTGCCGCCTCCCAACCCTCCTGGAATTGGGGAGACTCAGCCTGCTAGAGGGATGAGGAAAAGGATGCTTGAGGCCGAAGGGCCTGGGAGAGCAGTCTGAAGTCACACGATAAAATGCCATCTTTCTTGGCCGCAGCTTGCTCACCAATAGACTTAACCACATTTCCGAGGTTCCCGCCAGCCCTCACGTTTCTGTGACCCAGCTCGGGGTCGGGGTGTGGGGCGGAGGGACTGTGAGCATCCTCACGCCAGAGACACCCCAGCGCCTCCTTCCTGGACCTGTCCTTAAGCCCTCATCCCCTAAACTGACGGTCTCAGGGAGACTGTCACTCCATTCTCATCCCCTTGGCAAGTTAAGATCAGTGCCGTTGATTGGGGAGGTTATTTTCACTCCAGTCTAGGCCCTTGGCTTCCTTTCTTTGTCAGCAGTCTTGCCTCTGGCTCTGAGGGTCCCATAAAGCTCTTCCTTGTCTGAACTCTGATTTCCATCAGAATGTATTTGGGTACCTGCTCACTCTTTTCTGTAATTCCCCAGGATATCCCTCCTACTGCTGTCAGGAGGGGGTCTGCAGGTGACCTGTACTTCCAGGTGCAGGAAGATGGGGACGTTTGTTTCTCAGAGCAGGAGGCGGGCAGCCTGGGAGACAGGAGGGGGAACTCTGCAAGTGAAGGAGCCCTGGGAAGAAGCTGACCCTGGGGGGTTCCAAGTCCTTGGTTTTATTCCTTATTGAATCAAATAAGCCTCTTGGATCAGAGAGCTGGAAGCACATTGAGATAAATTTGATTAATCCTTCTGTCTTCAGATATGTATGAAGTATCCTTAATTCTCATTCTTAGGTTTTATGAAATGACATGCAGAAAGTTAGATGTCCTGCCCAAGGTCTCATGGAGACTAAACATGAACTGGCATCTGCTCCTCACTGTACTGCCCTGCAGGTGGCCACAGGCAGCTCTTACACACACACATCTCCTCACTTGCCGGTCTGTTTATTTCTGGTGAGCTATGGCCCCATCCTAATCTGTATCTGCAGCCCTAGGTCTCCCTGAGCTGTGCTCTGCCCACTGAGAGTTCTCCAGAACAACTAGCGAATGAAGGATTCATTGTGGGCATACTTTTAAAGGTGCCCCAGGCACAGAAAATGAGGTTCAGTCTTAGAATGTTAAGTTCTTCAGTCTGTGGATAGAGAGTAGGTGTGTGTGAGCACGCATGCTCACGTAAGGCATACTTAGATCTTAGTGTTCGTAGCTGCCCCACCCCCATCCTGTCCCAGCGCACACACCCAAATTCTCCCACTGCTTTGAGCAGGCAAGCAGCTGGCTTTTGTCCACTCTCCCCTCCAAGGGAGGCCGAGAACCAGAACAAATGTGCTACTTCCCTTCCCCTGGCCACAAAAGTTCCTCTTCCAGAAGGGTGTCCAGTGGGCTGGGAGGAAGGGTGCAGGCCTCGGGAGGCAGGGGAGCGCATGGGAAGGAGGGCAGCGGGAGGCCTTGCTGCAGAGTGGGCGATGCACCAAGCTGACTTCCAGGTGTGACTGACTCCTCATCCTGGGCCTCAGTTTCCCCATCTGTCAAATGAGGTGGCAGGACCGTGACTTTGGGTGCCTCTTGGGTTTCTTGGATTCCACTTCTTCCCCTGTGTGGTCAGCAGGATGAGAGCCTGCTTTCGGGCCTCGTCACCTGCACTGCCATCTGAGGACACCTCGCCACCGTGCCCGCCGCACATCTGGAAGGGGGGCAGAGCCTGCTCCAGACCCCCGGCAGGCAGGGTGCCCTCTCCCTCCAAGGCCTGCAGACAGGAGCCCCAACATTTCCCTTAGAGTAGACGGGACCCCTTTCCTCCCTCGTAGACTGTGACCCCATGAAGCCAGAGCCCCTGCGGGGGGTGGGGAGGAGGCGACAGCTGGAGACTCAGGATGAGGACAGGCCTGGCCTCCCACCTTCGCTTGCTGAGGGCTGTCTGGTGTCAGGAGTCCATGTTTCTGGAAACAGGCAGAGGAGGATGGGACGAGCTGCTTGATATCACACAGCTGACTGTTTGGGCAGGGCCTGGGGTTCTGGTGCCCAGGGAACGCCTGTGCCACTTCTGCACGCACGTCAGTCTGGCCTGAGACGGTCCTGGGAGCTTGAGGTAAGGGCAGAGGGCAGACCAGACCCCGGAGCCCCAGATGAAAGAGCTGCTGTAGAGCAGGCTGGGTCCTGACAGCAGACGTGGACTGGAGGGTGGCCTCCTTCTGAGACTTCTGACCCGCCTGTGTCCCCGTCTCTGTCCCCATGTCCCACAACACCTGCTCTCAAGTCCTCCTCACTCTGAGCTCCAATTCCTGCTTCCTTCTGTTCCTTCTGTTCTCTCCTCAGCCTCATGCTCCTGGTGGGAAGGAACTGAGTCTTTCTGGAATGTCCCCAGCACCTAACACAGTGCTTGGCACATATGTGGGTAATAAATAAAGAGCGATTATTAAATAAATGGTGAACCAAATGGAACTTAGTTTTCTCTATCTCTCAAATAATAGTGTTGGATCTGATACGCAGTTTTCAAGGCTTTTTTTTTTTTATAATTTTTTTTAAGGTGAGGAACCTTTTATTCAAGCGACAGCTAGAAACAACCCAGGGCAGGAGCCCTGTTCTCTCAGGATACAGGATCATGCCAAGACACCTGTGCCTTGCTTTCTAGACGCTGACATTTCACTGGGGGAGAAGGTCTCACCTTTAAAGCAGGTTCTTTTTGTAGATAAATTAAGTCATAGTGAGCTCAGAGCTGGGAAGAAGGCGGGTACTGACCAGGATACTGAGTGGCTGGCATGTAAGGCTGATGCAGAAGTGGCATTTTCAGACTCCTGCGGGGGCGGGGCACAGCGGGGGTTCCATGTGCCCAGCACAAAGGAAACAGGCTGGCTAGCAGTGCGGCTTTTGTGGTTTCTGGCCTGATTCTGTGAAGGCTGGCCCTGCAGCAGCCTGGGAGGCGCTTCCTCCCCTGTAGGGCAGGGAGTGAGCTGGGCCCAGCACTGCAGTCAGCCTGCAGCCATGCGGCCTGGGCCCCAACAGCAGATGTGGCAGGGCTGGGCTGTTTGGAGGCTCCCAGGGAGATGCGGAGCAGACAGGGCCTGGTCGAAGTGCCCTGGGGCCAGAAGCCCCCATCCGGGGTTGGCTCCCCAGTGGGCTCGAGTGAGCGTCGGAAGGTGGAGGAGTGAGGTCCTCGGGGGACCTGGAGTCCACCCTGTGGTCTGCCAGGCCCTCGATGTTTCAGCAGTTACCTTCTTGCATTGCACCCTCTCTGTCAGCGTTTCCAGATTTATCAGGAGAGAGCTCTGCTTCCTGCCCTACCACCAGGACAGGACCTGCTCCTGGGAGCTGTTTCCACACCCTCTGCAGCCAACCTGCAGGCTCGGCCAACAGTCTGTGCAGGTTGCTTTATTTACTCCTGTTGCTACCGGCAGGCTTCTTCTACAGGAATTCTAGGAGAGGTGTAGACTGCGTTTTCCTTCAGGAGGTCTGGGCATCAACGTTTTAACATGTTCCTCAGGGCATTCAGTTCCTGCAGGTCCACATTTGAGAACCAAGGTTGAGCATCCCCTGAACAGAGACTCACCAGTCTCTAACCTTTGAAAGTGTTTGCTTTTTGACTCTGCAAATGCATTCTTACAAGAATACCTTCTTACCAAGCAATGAAGGCAGATGCAGCTGGAGGGCTCTCTGTGCTGGCCACCTCCCACCCCCTCAACCCCTCTCCGTGGCCCCCACCGCTGTCATTCTGGTGTGTGGCCTTTCAGGCTCCTTCCTCATGCATTTTCATACCCGGCGGTACTGCAGAAAAACACAGGGTTTAAAAAACACGCACACCGTACTGTGTGTATCATTCTGCAACTTGCTCTTTTCATTTCAGAAT